AGTTTGAGGGATTTTTATGTTTTTCGTTCTTGGCTTTCTTCTCCGCCGCTACTGGATCGCATTTCGAAAACTACGAGGCATTTTCGGCCGTGATATAGTAGCAATCTTATATGACAATTTCATCAAAATCCGATCGATACTTCTATGAATGAATGGTTTTTCGTGGTGTGCATATCATATAACATCCAAAACACAATATCTCATTTTCGCGATTACATTACCCAGTAGCAAAGGAAGTAAAAACGTACTTCAAGAAGTCAGTAGCATTTGAACATTCGCATATAGAAAACTCTTCGATCGTTAACTACAACAGCAATGAATTCTATGCCGAGTGATATGCATTTGTGGTGTTATATGCATATGTGCAAAACCAATGCGGTACTGGTAATAAATACCTTACAATATTGTTGGGAAAGATAAACAGCTTTATAAGCAGAATAACATTTTGATTGCAACGGCCCAAACAGCAACACAAACTGGATCCAAATCATGATTGAAACAAGCGCGGTACGTTGTTATTGCAAAAGAAAAACAGCTTAAAGCCGCGTACAGACCGAAAATCCAACGCCGAGCAAACGAATGCAAGCACATGTGACGTTGGCGTTCGTTGTTAGAAGGTATTGGAATGCGCTCGTCTACACGTCGTCCACACCTAAATAGTTTTGAGTTGGACCGCGTTTAAGTTCGGTGCTACAGGCAAACGACTAAATACTAGAAGCGCAACAAATTCTGTTATACCAAATCAAACCTCCCTTTGATGTACCGATCAAGGAGCGAATGCAATCGAACGCCAGCTGCGAGCTTGGAAACTGTTGGCTTATGTTGGCCCGCGCCGTACATACCGATTCGAATGCTTCCAAATCGCACAGTAAAAAAAAACTATAAACACGATATGGATAAATTACTACATGAAAATTAATATTCCCTGTTACTGATAGTGGCACAGAAGATACTTGAAGTAAGCTTTATGAATTCACATGTTTGGCATACTTTATTAGTTTCACCATTCACCGACCACCGACGCCAAGCCTCAAAACAAGATTCATGTTTAAACATCAACAGTGTGCTGTCGAAGTATAATTAATAGGTGAATAACTTATCTGTAAGGAAATTATGTTAAGTCAGTTATATAAGATTATCTAAAGAGATCGCACCCGCTCACGTCTATTCTCAAATTTTAAGTCGTTTTGGGGCATCCGACAAAGCATAATGATTAGGATGTGGACTAGCCGGTGGATGTAAACGTTACGCGTTCCGAATGTAAGAAATATACACTACAGGATGGCGGAGAAGGGGGGCTATCTCGTAGTATCCATTTATGCAGGCGAAAATCCTCAAGCAATAATACAAACCCGCCACCAAGTACAATTTCAAATTAATTTATGGGCAGGAATAATAATTGGACTATATTTAACAGGAGCCGTTGTGTTACGATGTTACGACCTAGACTAAATGACCAAAGGTATTTACAATTTCTTGAAGAACAATTACCTACTATGCTGGAAGATCTTCCATTACAAGCACGAATGGATATGTAATTTATGCACGAGGGCGCTCCACCTCATTGTAGTAGATTAGTTAGAGAGCTCCTAGATAGAGTTTATCCAGACCATTGGATAGGCCGATGAGCTAGCTCACCAGATTTAAATCCTATGGATTTCTTTTTCTGGGGTGATTTAAAACGACGCCAGTGGAAACTAGATGATCTTCGACAAAGAATTTTCCACCATAGCATGGAAATGAAAAATAACATCCAAATGCTTTGGAGAGTGCAGTAAAGATTAATTAGTTCGTCGAGCTCGAGAGTGGGTTAGGCAAGGTGGTGCTCATTTTGAACAATTTTTGTAATTATTATTTCCGCTTATTAGTTTTGTTGCCATCTTCATTTGTTATTGTTAAAAACCACAGCAACGCTACTCAGATATTATAAACTTGATTATTATAACAATATTTTATCATTATGGTATAAATAATGCAAATATCTCAAAAACTACTAGCTTTCGACACTTCTAACAAGTAAACCTTTTTTGTTATGGAGATACGAGAAAATAAGATTTTTCGGTCAGTTGTTATTTACCGAAATAGTGCTGTAAGTGGAGAACTCTAGAAGTTTGGCCACAAAAAATACCGGATTCTTGTTTCTTGTACCAGAAAACCTCCCTATACCAAGTTTTATGCCAAAATCTGAAATACTTCTCAAGCAACAGGAAATAATAGAAAGTAAAATTGTAACTTTGACACCCTGTATCCCGCAAACTATCAACTTTTGGACTAAGGTATGTTTAGGTCAATTCACATATTTTGGTCAGTACTATCTCCAGGTTCGAGATTTCCCAACCCTTCGCAGACATTCTGTATATTACGCACGTGGTGATTATTAATAGGTACATCTCATACAGGGTTGTCAGTTTTACTGAATTTTCAGTAGATCTACTGATTTGTATATTGATCTACTGATCTAGTGAAACATTTACTGAAAAAATTATGATGACTAATTAATGTTATTATCATTGTTAATTTTTAATTCATAACCTAGACCTTGCGTAATATTGTCGAAGACTCAGTTTAAATACGGTCATCAATGATGACCCTAAATAAATTCGAAAGCGTCTTAGTGCCTGATATTATGTTGGTAATACTTTACAGCCCAGACTACTGATGTAAATATTCGGAATATTTTACTAACCGGTTAGACGGAAACGGATGAATAGAATATTCGGATGAATCTTCCATGGATGAATCATCCATAATAATAATACGAATCATGGCATCATCCATAACAGCAGTAGTTTTATGCGACCTGGCAACACGGACTGTATTCCTACATCACTGGACCAGACCACGGCCACGGGGAATCACCGGTTATTAATGCGTAAACGACTACGGGGACCGGGATTTCCCAGCTCTGCGCGACAGCGCGAGGGTTTTGGTTTTTTCTTCGTTTTCACCTTCACAACTCGGTTTGATCTCGTATCCAGTGGTTTTGTTGAATACTCTATTTTTTTATCCTTTCGTATAAACGAACGCACAAAAATGAGGTAAGTTCACTTTTATTAGTTAATATTGAATTCGAAGATGTAATGTCTTATGTTTTTAGTTCAAGTGAATACCATAACTCTGAAAATGAAGGGGCTGGTCCCTCAAAGAAAAAAAAAACAAGGGCCGTATTCCTACATCACTGGACCAGACCACGGCCACGGGGAATCACCGGTTATTAATGCGTAAACGACTACGGCGACCGGGATTTCCCAGCTCTGCGCGACAACGTGAGGGTTTTGGTTTTTTCTTCGTTTTCACCTTCACAATTCGGTTTGATCTCGTATCCAGTGGTTTTGTTGAATACCTTATTTTTTTAACCTTTCGTATAAGCGCACGCACAAAGATGAGGTAAGTTCACTTTTATTAGTTAATATTGAATTCTAAAGATGTAATGTTTCATGTTTTTAGTTCAAGTGAGTAGCATAACTCTGAAAATTAAGGGGCTGGTCCCTCAAAGAAAAAAATTAAATATAATCAAGTATTTAAGAAAAGCTGGACCGAAGAGGAGCAATTTAAAAAGTGGATCAAACAGGGAAAAGATGAATACTTTGCTATGTGCCGCGTGTGCAATAAAGATACTTCTATTAGTGCGCTGCACATGAAACTATGCAAATCTCAGAAAAAGCAGGGAACATAACAGATATGGCGGTTTTTAAAGGAGGCCCAAATCAGGAAACCATATTAAAAACGGCAGACTTACATCTCGCAGCTTTCGCCACTGAGCACAATTTGTCATATAATATGATGGAGCATTTACCTGCAGTAATAGATAATGAATAATGAATGGCGATTACTTCGAAATACGGATTTAAATTTCAGTTGTGATGTAGATGTAGAAACATTCTGGTCAAAAATTGAAAGTATGCGCTACAGCGACGGAATTTCCATGTTACCTTGATTTTAAGTAGATTTGTTTTCAACTTGTTAATTTTACCACATTCATTGGCAAATGTAGAGTTTTTTCTGCGGTAAATCTAATGAAAACTAATCAAAGAAATAAACTTTCAACTACGAGTATTGTGGGACATCTACACACAAACAATTATTTAAAGCCTAGAGTAGTAAATTGTAAAGTAAATTGTACAAATGTTACATTTACAAAAGTAGTAATCAATTTACATAATAATGATATGTATAAACCAAAAAAGTTCAATACTTTATCAGATTCCGAATAAATTCTATTTTTTATATAGGTACCTCTAGTTTCTTACTCCTTACGTTTAATTTTTTTACTTGTTTTGTATTTTTGGAGTTGTTTATTATTTTTACTATTTACTGCTGTTTTTTATGTACTCGTATCTGATGAGTATGTCCTAAGTAACTTTATTTTGTGATAAGTTTTTTTTTAATTAAGAATTAGGTATAAGTTAAAATTTTTGTTTTGTGTACATATTCCTATATTTTGTTAAGCACACATTTATAAAAAATACATATTTTTTCGAGTTCATAGGTCTTTTTTATTACCCTTTCCTAAAATTTGCATAAAATATATATATCTACTGAAATCTACTGAATTTTTGGCAACCCATTTACTGAGAAAATGAATATCGAACTGGCAACACTCATCTCATAGCTGGAGGTGGTTTATTAAATGAGTTACCAGTAGATGGCTCGTAGGGTAGTACAGTGTTGGTACTACGGTGTCGGCAAAACGGGTCAAAGGTGGCCTAGTTGCCAGGCTTATCCTCTCACTACTACTTCTACTTGCTCTGTCTCACAGTACTTCGAACATTGGTGACGGTGGACAAAATCCACGAACCTTCAAAATCGTATAGGAAATTAGATGTACAAAAAACTTGTATAAATAAATGTGCAAACGCTCGAATAAGAAGTCATGGCAAGATCGCAAGATAACCTACCAGTTGCAGATATCTCTCTTCGAAGTTCATAAGCGAATCTAGATTATGAGTGACTATAATCTGGTTTTTCGTAGGTAGAACATATTTCAGCAATGGTTATGCTCACTCTTCCTAAAGAAAAGAAAATAATGAAACAATATAGTCATAATATAAAATTAACGGCAAATTAAAGCCTAACGCAAAAAATACAAATAGATATTTGAGGATTTTTTTAAAGTGCATTTAATATTATAACTGCTGAACCTGCCAATTGAAATAGTATATTTTAAAGTAAACACTCGTGTATTGCTCTGTACAATGCTTGAAACTGATGTCAAAAAAACTTCCATACTAATACTGTACTAATAATGAGAAAGTATGAATATAGTATACTAAGTGACATATAAATCCGAACACCCAGTTTAAATGGTTTTATTTTAATAAAATTTTGTATAAGTACTTAGTGAAGCAACTTTCCAACAAGATAATGCCCTACCACATCTTGCAAGAGTCACAATAGACTTCTTTCAACATAATGATGTCACATTGTTACCATGGCCACCAAGATCTCCCGACTTATCCCCAATTGAGCACGTGTGGGATATGATGGGTAGGAGATTGCTCAATTTGCAACGTCCTCCTCAGACTCTAGACGCACTTCGAGAGGAGTTGGTGGTTGCCTGGAATGAGATACCACAGGAGGACATTGACCACCTGATCAGAAGCATGCCTAGGCGCGTTGGAGAATGCGTAGCACATCAGGGTGCAGCCACACATTATTAAAGGTCAAAGGGCTTTAAAGCAGCGCAATCATTTTGAAATTTTTATCATTTACTTATTATGCTTCACTAAGTACTTATACAAAATTTTATTAAAATAAAACCATTTAAACTGGGTGTTCGGATTTATATGCGCACTTAGTGTATTTGTTACACAGTCACACCAAAATGGCTGAAAGGATATGGATGAAATTTAGTACAGAAATATTCTATAGTCCGGGATATCACATAGGCTTACTTTTTATCCCAGGAAATAACTTTGAAGCGTCTATTTCTCAGGCGACAGCCCAAATGACTGGGATTTGACATGAGGTGCCTGAATCCAAAGCGCTCAGTCGGTCAGGGTATATAAATACAGCATTGGCAGTCCGACATTCCTTTTTTAGCGAGATCTACTTGATTTAGATTTGTTTGACGGCTTGTTTTACTTCTAGTATAATCTATATTGTTTCTGTACAATTTTTTCTTGAATTTATGAAAGCACGGGTAGCAAACTTATGGGTGCAGTAGGTTAGAGACAGGTATAATTAAGGCTAGCTTCCACTGGTTAGGCGGTATTTTTCTAAACAAAAATTTAATATGTGAATGATATGAAAGAAACTTATACGAAGACTTACTTTTGACACAGTTAGTGAGTTAGTGATACAGTATCTATATCCTTAGACATCTTTATGAGGCTTTTTGAAGTTTAGATATTTCATACACACCCTGTAAATATACGCGAGTCCAACGATGAGTTCGTATAAGCTATTACGCTATAAGTCGCAAAACGTAAATACTCTTGAAGCTTCTCAATTGTGTTGACTTGAAAGAATGTAAATCTTGGGGTTATCCTACTAAGAGTTGTGAGAGGTTTATCCTACAATACCAAAAGGTAACAGAATACTTCGATATCTGAGTTTCGTCCATAGAACGATGCACTGTGTCACCTCAAACGATCCCAAACATAAAGCCTCCCTGTTCCTTACAAATCACCAAGTCGCAAGGGTGACAGCAGTAATCCGGTATCACTTTGTATAGCGATCTTCGCTGTGTCAAATCAAGTAGGCCTATCGCCGAGTGGCAATTTCAATCCAGAGGGCCGTGCATGTCAATTGAACTCCGTCGTAATAAAGAAGAAGTTCAATGGCGCGGATATCTCCCACGTAAACAAGATTTGTGCGACTTTGGACGGTGTTCTCGGAAATAGCGCCCTATCCAATTAGAAAGGACAAAGGATGGCACCGAAAGGCGCCAAGCCGAAAGTGTTCCTTGAAATGAGAGGTTTTGTAGTGGGGCTGATCATGAACAATACCCTCTTCTCTGGAACTTCCTCTTTTTTTCTGCTACGTTAGCATTCGGTATTTTATGATAGGACATAAGTTCCAAAGATTCTAATACACGCAGTGGCATTGCATCAAGCAATAACAGGATGAATTCCTGTAAAATGTTCCCCTGCTAGGAGGGGGGGGGGGGAGGGTGTTAAGATCTGCAGTAGTCGTAGGGGCGTGCTAACAAGTACGAGCCCGTTCCCACTTCAGTTGGCCCAACTATTGAAATCTTACTTTTTTTCTTATCAAACACAGATAATAAAAATGTAGCAGGGTGTTATATGTTTAAAATATTAACAATGAATATTTTGATAATATATAGTAGAAAACACTAACTTTATCACTCCCTAATCAAATTTGCAGCATAAAAATAACACATGTTGCAATTACAGCATATCACAGCTGTCAGAATACGTTTAAAATAGTTTTGCGTAGTTAAGGTTTTCACAATGGGTAGAGGAAAGGTTATTAGTGAGAAAATTCGGTTACTGATAATTAATTTTTTTAATTCTGGGAAATCAAACTCAGAAATTGCAACTTTCTTAGACTTATCGCGGTACAGTGTGAGAAATATTGTTAGAAGATATAACGTAACTGGTTCAGTTTAATATTAAGCCACGATATGTGAAAGAAAGTAAAATCACAAATGCCGACCGAAGAGCATTAAGAAGAATAATCGTGAAAAACAGGCGTGCCAATTATTTACAATTAAGTGCTCTGTGGAGTGACACTGTTGGAAGGAGAACTTCGAGTTCCACAACTCATAAAGAGGCCCACAAACTGAGATTTAGCACTCAAGGTAAGTTTTCTTATAAGAAAAGTGAAGTAAAAACCCTAAAATAGCACAACTTGTTTGTTTGCCAAAGAAAAGCCACTATTAACTCCACTGCAAAAGAAAAATCGGCTTAGATGGGCTAAAGAACATAGACAATGGACACCTCAACAATGGTGTGCAATACAATGGAGTGATGAGGCCCGATTCGAAGTTTAAGTTGGTGACAGTCGCAGTAGAGTTATTCGCAAAAAAAATGAAGCATTCCATGTTGACTGTCTGAAGAGAAAAGTGAAATTTCCAGCATCCATTATGGTCTGGGGCAGTATGTCATCAAAAGGATTAGGAAAACTTCATTTTATTGATGGAAATGTGGATACAAACAAATATTTGGCAATTTTAGAAGAATCGCTTTTACCAGTGATGGAAGAATGTTTGACATCCGGCCAAGATTTTGTGTTTCAGCAAGATGGTGCAGCGTGCCATACCTCAAAAAAGGCTATAAAATGGATGGAAGAAAATGATGTTTCTAGCAGTCCAGGTCTCTCACGTATTGAAAATTTGTGGCACGAGATGAAAAACATTCTACGACAACATCCAGCTCGTACAATCACCGAACTGAGACAAAAGCTTCAAGAAATATGGGACTGTTTTACAACAAATTTTTGCCAAAACTTGGCTAACACTATGCCCCAAATAATTTCAGCCGTAACAAAAAATAAAGGTGATTTTACCCAATGGTAATCTTTCATTTGTTGATTTGTTAACTTCGCGCATTTATTCGCACATTGTTTATTTCTTCAGATGTTCTATTAGTTATAGGTCTAAGTGATTTCAAATATGTATTTTTTAAGAATAGAGTGTATTAAAAATGTTTTTGAGAAAATAAATTGTTTTAGATGTAAATAGTTTCGTCATGTTTAGTTTATAAAGGCATATTTTGGTACAAATCTTGAAGTGGGCAAACTGAAGTGGGAAGGGGCTCGTAGGTGCTAATAGAAAACTGCCAAGAACTTTTGACAGTGCAATATTTGATAGCTTTGGTCAAGTCATGGCGTCTAACCATCCACTGCGCATATCAAGACCGACTAGGCAACACCAAACCCCCCTGCTCTTCAGTTGTCAGAAAGCTATTAAGCCTCTTAAAAATACTGATGAAGGTGAGCTACTTTTCATTCACCAATAGCCCCTCCTCAGGACGAACATATTCTTGAAAATGAATTCTGCCATCACCACTGCATCCCTCATCTAGACAGCTTCCTAAATCCGCAACTGTGACTAAGTGACCCGCCTCCTTTACTCAAAGGCTGGATCCACCCTTGTTCTCAATTAATATGGACGGAGGGCGCATACTTCATGCTTTGCGTTAACTCGCACAAAAGTTTCGCTGTGTTCTTACCCCCTCTATGCACTTCGCTTCCAGAAAATACCAGCGCTTACAGTAGCGCAAATGACCGCAGTATAAAAATGTACGAATGGACGCTGAAGTTGCGCCTAAAGAATAGCTCGCTGTAGAATGTCTTGCGCCGTGCCATCTTTTGACATCCGTATGGAATAATAATAATAATATATCTTCATTGCCCAACAGAAGAATCCACTTATTGGACGTAATTTTAGCAGAGCGTTCGATTACAGCATTTTTAACTAAAATGAAATGGTACGAATCCGTCGCTAGCCAGCTATGGATGATTAGTCACAGACAATGAAACTGACCCCCTTTATGAATTCGACTAAAAGGAAGCTTTTGGAGAGCAATATCTATTTATTGTGACAACAAACATTCACAGCTGCACCGAACACCCGAGAAGCAAAATGGTGACAGTAATTTACCCTTGCTTTGGCTCAGCTCTGTTCACTCATTGTAGAATCTCTGTTAATCTCCACACCAACTATCATCACTTTCCCCGAAAACAAAGAGCCAAATTAGCCGGGAATATCTCCATCCATCTGCGGCCACTGCCAGGCGATATTTAAATTTATCAAAAAGCCATTAAGCTCCCCTGCCCTTTTCCCTCTTCTCACCCCACCCAGTTCTGCTGACTACTCTCTACTGATCACCTGTACATTGGCGTGCGATGTGTGTGTGTTTGTGTGGGGTTTAATGAACGGAATAGACTTGCTTAGGTAGAGCTATGTATGTCAGCGTTGCACAACTATCTCTGCTGTCCTATTACAAAACGTGCGAATCGTATACATTCACTATGAATCCGTTGTAACCAGAAAAAAGGATACCTTCCTCAAACTCTAACCCGTCCAAAAAAGTTCTGAAAA